CATTTTCGTTAAAAAAAATTGTAGTACTAGTTGGCTGTGTCGTGGACATGGACATGCCACTTTTTCTCCAATTTGGGCTTGTTCCTATCAATTCTTCCTGGCCTGTGTTCTCTAGGTGCTACCTTTCTGAGAGGTAGCAAGTTAAGTGAGCATGGATGTTTGACTGGACTAGGTCAGCAAAGTCAGCCATCTCTCTTTCTCTCTCTCGCTTTCTTTGATCCTCACATTCCATATATCCGCTCTATATGAAGTACGGTTGTACTTAAAAAATTGTACTGGGCTTCAAGTTCATCATTGTTAGGCCAAACCAAAACTCTCACTCTCTCTCTCTCTCTCTTTCTCTCTCTCTATACATATATATTGGACTTGATTCTGGTGTAGCATCATCAGCTGTGTGTGTAATTGTGTACCAGAAGCTTGGGAATTAGAATCAGACCGAGTTGAAGGGTGAGCTCTAGCTGAGAGACATATCTGTGCAAATATGAGAGGGTTCGAGAGGAGAGACGTCCGGCAGTACAACCGGTCCGACGAGCCACGGATGCGGTGGACGGAGGAGCTGCACCGGCAGTTCATCGAGGCCGTCGACTGCCTCGGCGGCCAGGACGGTCAGTTCTTGCTTCTCTCTCTCTCTCTCGCGATAATTGCGAAGTTGCATTGCATGCATGGATTTCACTGATTTGCACTGCCGGAGGATCACCTGTCAAATATTGTGCATATGGACCGATTTAAGGGTGGTTTTTGCTTTAGTCGTGCGGTAGGTTAATTAGGCCGGATTTGGTTCAAGTTCATGGCAGGAAGGAATGATAGAAAGCCCCCCGTGATATGTATGCATTATTAAATTGATTAACAGAAATGATAAATGGCAGTACTATCGTCTTCGCGCTGCTTTATTTCTCCTTAATCTCTCCTTCAATATTGGCTGACTTTGGCAATAGTTTTTTTTTAGAAAATAAGGATGACCCCCGGCCTCTACATCTGGGCGATGCATACGGTCACTTTATTAATTATTCTCACAGGACCTTACAAAGTAATACCATAGTAAGACTAAAGCCGCCGTCTAAGCAACAAACTATTGCTACACCTATCGAGTTGATGAAGGGGCGCAGATAGACTGGGCCTAATACCAAACAGACATCGCAGCCAAACCTAACATCTAAGACCTGAGGACCCATCCAGGAGCCATGCCGGGCATGGGTCTCGCCGGTCCGGCGTGCTCTCAGAGGCCTCCGCCGCCAACTGCCACCGCCCCATCTTCAGAACTGTACTGATGCATCAACCTTGCTCGGTCTAGCTTTAGTCGACGCCACGACGGCGCCCAACGGCACCTCCTCCCTGCGCGCAAACAGCTGTGCATGTCGCGGTCGCCACTGATACAACTCAGCACCATGCTGCCGAGTACCACCAGCCGACACAACTTGAAGTCTTTGAAAGATCTGTCGTGCGTAGCACCTGCCGACTAGGCATGACAAAGCGTAGCACCTGTCAGTCAGGCATGACTTAACATCTCCACCGAAGCTTCGTGCAAGACGAAGCCGCTCCACCTCCTGCCTCTGACTTCCAGCGCTGCTCCACAAACGATGCTTCCAAGAGAGAAATGACACCGCAGTGCCGCCATCGTCCGATCTGGAACACCAGATCCTAAGGTTTCCCCCAGAGCAGCACGAGTGGGTCGACAATAGTTACACGACGATGCCTCCATCAAGGTAACGGCGTATAACGCCGCCATCGCCTGCCAACGGCTTGGTTTTCACCGGCAACCATGTCTCCCCAACTCGCAGCCGAGACTAGATGATGGATCTCGAGATCCGATCACCAAGCCTCTGGCCGGCCGTCTCTGACGACGAAGATGACCACCACCATTGGCCAGCGAGACTTTGGTAATAGGTGACAGCGGAACTACCGTTTTGCCAAAATAAACAGTATTCATCATGATTTTAATCGATCTTTTCCGCCTATAGAAGTCTACAATTTGTATGTTAAGTACATCCTTTATCTGCCATTCATCAAGTACTCTCGTCACAACTTAGGGATCGGCTATGGATAAGTTGCCTGGTCGTCCTTCTTTCTTCTTCCCCCAGCTTTCTTCCTCCTTCAACTGTTTCTCCTCCCACAAAGTCCACTTACCCAAATTACAAATTCAGTCAAGTTACATATAGCTATTGTGCACAACTTAACCATGTCCAAGATTATCAATTTTTAGTTCTTTCCTTCACGGCCGGTCGATGATCCGGTATATACGCTGACATCAATTCTCTCCTCCCTTTGTCTGCGCAGAGGCAACACCAAAGCGAATTCTTCAGCTGATGGGCACAAAGGGGGTCAGCATATCTCACATCAAGAGCCATCTTCAGGTACTTTCTTACTATCGCATGATTTTTATTCGCAAAGGAGATATACCTGGCCTCTCCATCAGTTGATGCACGATCACCATTAATTTCACAGTCTCTTAAATGTGTATGAGTTGTTTCTGCACCCCAACTTCTTGACTAATTTCTCTTAATTATTTCAAAACTTGGTCCATTTGCAGATGTATAGGTCAAGCTCTAGCAACAACAACAACAACAATAACCCACCCCACATGTCAGTGAATCGTTGCCATGATCATTGCATCGATGGCAACAACACAAGAACAGCGTCTTCAGACAGGATCAACGCTCCCTCTAACGTCATGTTTCGCCGCGGCCACCGCTCGACGGTGCCGCCGTGCCAAATGTGAGTACTACCATAATTGCATCATCAATCCGGTTCTTAATTGAAGTTCATATGTGTCAATGTGTGTATTATTGAGTTTATTAAACATGCCAGCTATATCTCATTATACAGAACATCGATAGAAGAGGTTTCTAGGAGCTGGGAGGAGAGTAGCAAGCGGCTGCCATGGAACTCCACCGGCATGCTAATTACACCAGAGAAGGTTGGAGTAACTACTAGTGATCAAGCATTTCACAAATTAATTTGATTGTGTACTTGTCTGATGTCTTGACTAGCTCTTGACATTGTGCTCATGCAGAGCTTGCGTGTAATTGATATTTTTTTGATATTAACATGGTTTTTATAAATATAAAAGGCTAGAGACAAGCATGAATGAACTTAGACCAGTAAAAAATAATATATGAACCAATCTAGAGGAAGCAAATATTACTCATATTGATATCTTTCTTACTTACCATCGACCATACATGCATGTGCTATATAGGTTTTCTAACAAAGATGAAGCTTCTAGCTAGATGTGCAATATTAGTTGCTTGATTACTAGCAATATTATACAAGCACTCAAACACATGTTAAATTTTCTTGACATGGCTAATTAACCATGTACGTTGTTGCAGGCGACCGGTTGGTCACGTCACACCGTTGACAAGATGCGCCAGAAGAAGCAGCTACCAGCAGCGGGGTGTGACCTAACATTGTCAATCGGCCGGTGTGGGGAGTCAGAAGCGACCAGTGACGCTGACATCTCGAGCACCGCCACTGAGGAGGCCGCCGCGTTGGCAAGGGGTCGAGGTGCCGGTGGCCAGCGTCGCCCTGAGGCCGCCGCTGATCTGAACCTTGACTTGAACCTCAACATTGCAGTCTCATCTTCTCGGCTCTGATGTGTGATCCATGACCCCATGTGTAAATATTAGAGCTGCATTATTGTACGTATTGTATATATTTAGTCCCTGCATCACATATTAGTAGTTGCTGAAATGGGAGTTATTTACCCAAAACCACCACACTTGGGGCTAGGGTAACAACTTGGTACCAAATTTATGCCAGGACACAAAAAACCATCAAAATTGTGTCTAACATGTAACGCGGAGCACTGATGCTGGGATTTGATCGCGAAAACAGCAAAACCGACAAGTAGGGCCCGCCTGTCGGGCTGACGTGTCCTTGCTGGCCCTGCCCGCAGGCCAGCACGCCGACGCCAAGCGTGATGTGGCCCTGGGCTAGCTCGAGCAGGGCTCGGTTGCCGTGGCCATGGTGGTCATGGAGCTCTCGGCTCGGCCGTCCATGTCGGTGGGCGGCAGCGGGATTCGAGGGTTCGTGACGTGTAGAGAAGAGGCTGAGGCAGCCTGGAGCAAGCTTGAGCAGGGGCTCGGCTTCCATGGCTATGGAGCTCTCGGCTCGCATGGCGTAGAGATGCTCGGATGCTCACAAGCTGCTCGATGCAATGCTCCAAAGAAATAAAGATGAACACGTAGTCAATGACAGGCGGGACATGCATCTCATCTGCCACCTCACCTAGTCAACACTTTTTTTATGTGCTCGGTCTTCGCCACGTCAGCCCGACAGGCGGGCCCTACTTGTCGGTTTGGCTGTGTTTGCGACCAAATCCCAGCATCAGTGCTCCGCTTTACATGTTAGGCACAATTTCGGTGCTTTTTTGTGCCCTGGCACAAATCTGGTACCAAATTGTTACCCTAGCCTCAAGTGTGGTGGTTTTGGGTAAATAACTCCTGAAATGGATGTATTTCGGTGCTAGGTACATCCGTTTGAGCGACAACTAATATGGGACGAATGAAGTATTGATGTACGGCAGGTCATCATACTTGTTATAACGTTGTTGCTATGGTAGTTATTTTTTGCGGAAAAAAAACTACCATAGCAACCACCGGCACCTATCGGGCTAACTTTTTGGCCAAATTGATGAATTGTCACACGTTTGCTCTCTCCAACCCCAAGCTAAGATGCTTCCTCTTTGGCTGCGATTGATTATTTATTTTTGAAGAAGGGGATCTCTCCCTAGTTTCATTAATGACCATGTATAAATACAATGTACTACTCCCTCCATCCAGGTGTCTAATGAGCTGCATTGCAATCTAGGTGATCAGAGTGAGGACAACAAATTTTGTGGAAGCATACAAATAACCTATGCCTTCCCTTATAGCATCTAAAATCTAGCAAATAATTATTTTGGAAATCCTGGATTCCTGGACAAACGGAGTATAATATGATGTGGTTGGACTACCAGGGATTCGGCTGTGAGAGAAGTTGGCGTCGAGAACGAACAAAGAACCATGTGGTCACAAGGAAAATGCTTCCCTGTGTTAAGCAACGCATTATGTGCCCAGTCGTGACAGGCTGTTGGCATACGTTCCAAGGGGAGCCCGGCTAGGATAGTCCAGGTTGTTAGCATGTTTATCTTTGTAACAACTCTATCTCTCTATCCTCTTATTTCTTATTTCTTGTACCCCAAGTTATAATCTCAACCATGTATGTGATCTGGGAGTCGCGCCCCAGTATATTAACACGTAGCCGTCGGTCAGACGAAGACACGACGTTAAACCCAAATTTTCACATGGTATCAGCCTAACTCTTCCACCACATCCCATCTACCATCCCCATCACCACCTCCGCTACCACCATGGCCCCCTCCTCCAGCGCTGCACCGGCCAACCTCTCTGGTCAGGTCACCGAGAAGTTGACCCGCACCAACTACATCCTCTGGCGGACTCAAGTCACGCCGCAACTCCGTGGTGCGGGCTTCTTCGGGTATGTTGACGGCTCCACGCCTGAGCCGGCCAAACTCGTCGTCGTCAAGGACAAGGACGGGAAGGAGGAGACCATACCAAACCCCCTTCATCCGATCTGGATCCGTGAAGAACAACAGGTACTTGGA